CCAGTGCGCTCACCACACACCAGCTACAGGTGGAGAGGAGAGAGAGTCATAGAGCCAATCAAGTGGTTGGGGATTATTAGGAGGCCATGATTGACAAAGGCCAGGGGTGCAATTTGGCCAGCACACCGGGGGTACACCCCTGCTCTTTACAAGAATTGCCATGGGATTTTTAATGACCACAGAAAGTCAGGACCTCGGTTTAACCTCTCATCCGAAAGACTGTATAGTGTCCCCGTCACTATACTGTGGGGCATTAGGACCCACACAGACCACAGGGTGAGCACCCCTTGCTGGCCTCACTAACACCTCTTCCAACAGCAACCTAGTTTTCCCAGGAGGTCTCCCATCCAGGTACTGACCAGGCTCAACCCTGCTTAGCTTCAGTGGGTACCCAGTCTTGGGCTGCAGGGTGATATAGCTATGTCTACATATAGACATCAGACACTGAAACACACAAACACTCGCTCTGACAGACAAACTGTTCTCTGATGCTGTCGACTCTCCTTCAGATCGCTGTATTCTGCTGTGTTTATTCATTCTGAATGGATCTGTATCGTATCTATATGCAGTCACATCGAGGCATCTCCAGGTGGTCCTGTTTGATATCGCACATTGTTAAAAGCTGTAAATGATTGTAATGTATTTTTTTCCCACACAGTTTTTCTTGTTTGAAAGATTATGGATATTTCAGCTCAGATGCGTTTACATTGTCACAGTGCTTTAGATGCAATCAACTGAAACTGTGTCTGTAAAGGTGTGACCTGCATGGTCCATACAATCAGAACAGCAAAGGAACAGCATTCCTCAGGAACTTCTTGCAGGTTGCAGGATCTCCAGGTCCTAACAGTATCTATTGTTTGCAGCCCTTTTGTCTTTTGGTATAACGTCTCACAGACAGAACTTTGGGAGAAGCTACGATTCTTACAAGGGTTAAGATATTTTGAAGACTGACAAGCTAGCATCACTGTTAAATAAGTGCTACATTGCTACCTTCAATAAATTATTCTCCGCCACATGAACTCTGGTCGAGCTTACTTATTTTATGTATTAGATAATTCTAGTACATTGGCGAGCCACCCAAACCACTGCTCAGCCCAATACAGCAAAATCTAACATGTTGCAGTGTATACATTTTTACAAATTAAAAATTATTAACTTAATCCAGAACCTGGTAAAACAGTCATCTGTATTTCAAATAGTTCTAGCCTCTAGAATTCTAGTCTTCATTTTTTTTTCTGTTAACTTTTTCTTAAACTTTTTCTTTAACTTTCACTGTTTAGCATTAAATCATACAGGGGTGTTTGCTGGAATGTTCCAATATTAACCAGCTGCAGCCCTACTCAAAAAATAATAATTCCACATAAATACTTCAATAATTCCATAAATACTTCAATCTGACACCTGTAGATCTTCCAGTGAATCCTGTGATCTCCATCAGTCCATCTGGAGAAGTAGTGGATGAGATTAAGTGTTTCTTGAGTTCAATTGTGTGTGGAAAATACAAGTGCAAGTCCAGAAATAAACATGGAGAGAAATACTCTGCTGTGACTTTAAACGTCATGTGTGAGTTAATGATCAACTGCATATTGTTCACATCCAAATTCAGCATTTTCTAAAGTTTTTGTGAATTTTGATTTTTATTTATATTAGATCCACCCAGGAGCGTCTCAGTGTCTATCAGTCCATCTGGTCAAATAAAGGAGGGAGATTCAGTGACTCTGAGCTGCAGCAGTGATTCAAACCCTCCTGCAGAAATCAGCTGGTTTAAGGAGAATCAAAGCTCAGCTGTTGGATCTGGAAGAATCTACAGCATCTCAAAGATCAGCTCTGATCACAGTGGAAAATACAAGTGCAAGTCCAGAAATAAACATGGAGAGAAATACTCTGCTGTGACTTTAAACGTCATGTGTGAGTTAATGATCAACTGCATATTGTTCACATCCAAATTCAGCATTTTCTAAAGTTTTTGTGAATTTTGATTTTTATTTATATTAGATCCACCCAGGAGCGTCTCAGTGTCTATCAGTCCATCTGGTCAAATAAAGGAGGGAGATTCAGTGACTCTGAGCTGCAGCAGTGATTCAAACCCTCCTGCTCTGAACTTCAGCTGGTTTAAGGAGAATCAAAGCTCAGCTGTTGGATCTGGACAGAGTTTCAGTGCACTACAGAGTGGACGCTTCTACTGTGAGGCTCACAATCAACATGGATCTCAGAGATCAGATGCTGTTACTGTCACTGTTAAAGGTAGAGCAGCTCATTTACTTGCATGATTCCTTCTAAAGTGAAGCAAATTAATCTGTTCAGATGTTTTACTCTCTTGTCTCTGTTGTAGGACGTCTGGTGATATTGTACATATCCATTGGAGTGGTTTGTGGAGCTGCAGTTGTCGTAATGATGTATGATATATGTGTGTGTGTGTGTGTGTGTGTGTGTGTGTGTGTGTGTGTGTGTGTGTGTGTGTGT